GCAGTGACTGCAAATTAATGGTTAAGGTCAGGGGGTGTCGTAATGGGAAGTGAGGGTGTCGGCATTCGAAAGCTCAGTACGCTGTGAAGACTAATGCCAGCAGTGGTGTTTATGAGATAGACACGCCAGGAGGACGTTGTAAGTGCAAGGCATCATACCACGTCAGCAATGTGCTGGAAGTGTGAAGTGTGGAAGAAAGGGTCCTCAAAAGGATTAACGGCAGTATAACTTATCCATTGATAAGCCGGGTGAAGTGCAAGAACACATGAAAGTGGCCTCTGCTGTGCTGGACATCTAAGCACATGGTGTGGCCTTCACACAAATACGCAATGATGAAACCTCTTGAAGAAGGAGCCATCATTTTTGGAAAACAGAGAATTTTTTTGCGAGTGAAACAGAGTCTAGTCTATATAAAAATCCACACTGTTTTTCCAGTTGATGGTACGTCAATGGCTAAGACCCAAGGAAGGCAAGTCTGTCACAATGCTTAGTTGGGGGGTGGGCAGGGAGCTCAACAAGTAAAGCATTGCACTAATGATGCAAAGGTTGTGGGTTTGAATCCCAAAGAGCACACATGAGTTTAGATAAGAGCAAAAGACTAATGAATACAGAAAAACACACATATCCAGCTCACCAATGTGTTTAATTCACTTAACAATCATCCATTTCATAAAACATTTTGCCAGGCAGCAGAATTCGGGGCAACGCCCAAGATAAAATGTCAGTGCATCACCTGGTAGATACGCTCACACAGGCGCGCACGTGGAGATTTGGGGAGGTCAGTTCACCTAACAGCTGACGCAGAAACCCAGACAACATGGTGAAAGTATAAAAAATACACAAACACACACACACAAGATTTAATCCATCAGCCATGGGTTTGTCTTATCCATTGTGGCCCAATTCTATAACATCTCCATTTCCAAACAGCTAAGAGGAAAAGCAAAGACTAAAATTGCATCCACAAAGCCACTGAAAATGGAATAAACGACAAAAAACAGGGGCTGTTTTTCTGTGACTCTTGAGACTGAAGAGTATGAGTGGCTTTGCTGGGAGATCTGAACTGGCAGATAATAACTGAGGGAAGAATTGATGAAGCAAAGATTAGGGAATACAGAGAAGAGCTCACTCCCAAGAACATCCACAAACAAGGCATATTTAATAAGGTCACATCCAGGGGAAACAGCCAGCAATGGCAGCAGGTTAGATACTTACATAAAGCAAATGGACGAATACAGCAATCAGGGCTTAAAAACGAAAAAAAAATCCATTCGGTTCACTCCGAGCAGAATCGATATTATAACGTTTCTGTTCTTGCGTTCCTCATTAAACAATACGTTCCGAAAACGGTTTTCTTAGAAAAATACCGGTTAATAAACGTTATTTTATTACACGGCGCGATAGATAGATAGATAGATAGATAGATAGATAGATAGATAGATAGATAGATAGATAGTGTGTGCCTTTTAATAACATGTTTGGCATTATGTTTACAAATGATTAAACCAAATTCCGTGTTCGTGTCATTTGAACTTCTTGTCTTTAAAACCGAGTTTCACCTGGAAACTCGTTACAAATGCGCTAATAATTTTTTTAAAACAATTTTCTTGTTTGATAATACTATAGCGAAATAAGCCCCTTCAAGACCATCCGCTTAACATCCTGACCACACGGCTTAATCTGCGATAAAAACCTGTTGACTTATTCCTTACCTAATATGCATAATAGCCTATTATAGCATTTAATGCATAAAAGTAAAAGAAAACGTAATGCATTGTAACATTATAAAACAACAACAGATTTTTTTTTTAACATTTAACACAACAGATCAACAACTTAAATTATAATATACCAAATATTCTGGAGACATTTGAACATGTAGGCCTGTTGTCTTTGGCTTTTTCACTACGACCGCGTCTAGAGTCGTTTGTCCATCAGCTGCTGACCTTTTATTGCTGGTCGAATCAACATACTGTATTTCGTTGGATGTTTACGTTGAATGTGTCTCTGCAGGTTACCGCCATGATTCCCAGCTATTTCTGCCCCGCATCCTTCAATATTACAGATCGATTTATCAGACGATTTGTCATATGAAAAAAATTGACGAAAGGGATTTTCTTTATGGCGACCCATCTACAAACAATAGACAATCAGTAATTATTTTTTGTAATTTTAACTACAAGTTTTAATTAGGCTACAATAACTTAAACCTAAACATACCTTTGCACATGAAACAGCCAGGTGCTTGGTAACCTTAAGCTCGTCGCATCAGAAAGGGCTCTGCTTATGACGTCTGCTTCGCGGGCATTTCACGTTGTATGCGTCACCGTCGCATTTGCGCACACAATTTGAATTCATGTTTTTGGTCTGCCAAATTGATAATATAAAGAGAACGATAAAAATACCGTTATTAACCGGTTAATTTGGAATTTCTGTTTCCGTTTCTGTTCAGAACGATTAAAAATGATTTTGTTTTCGTTTTTGTTTTTGTTCCTGTTCAATGTCATTTGATTTCGTTTTTCGCTTTCGTTCCTTGAACCGGTTCAGAGCCCTGACAGCAATACAGGAAAACCGCAAGTGGGGGGGTCGGATTAGCCCTGAGGTCCCTGTGCATAGGGAAGGTCATAAGAAAGGAAACATCCAAAGAGAAAGAGAGATAGAACAACCAGCAATAAGGTGGATGGACACAGTCACCACAACAATTCATAGGCCTGATGGCCCAAATAGAAGACTGAATGTTCTAGAAGAATGTCCTCTTTATGGTCGCTGTACATCAACGTCAACAAGACACAACGTGAGGAGAATATATACAACCTCCACGTATCACCTACACCCACAGAACAGAGGTGGGCTTGAAGTGCCCCGTTGTTGCAGGTACTAAGGCAAGAGTGCGACTCATCGAGCCACCATAGTTACCACAAATAGTTAAATTCAGAGGGCAGAGGAAGAATTCATCCATGAACCTTACAGGAGTTACACCAAAGGATCTGGTGAGAAATTTGCCCAGCGGATGATTCTGCTGTGAAGGAAACTCCAAAACGAAGGCGGTGCCTATGGGGATACAGTGACAAGCCGAGGGGCTGCTGGCACGATGCCAGCTTTGCTGCAACCTGATACACCGGGGCCTGGAAAGACGAGGGCAGACCACCCATCCGGACTGACCCCAGGTGATGGGCACCAACATAGGAAAGATTCTCTGCATATGATTTTGGAGCCATATCCTTCAATTTTCTACGACCACACTTTTGGACTAAATCGTAACACATGTCTGGCTTTCTTCTCCTCAATGTCCTTGTGGTACGCTACGCTGACAGCCATCCAGGGCACCCTCAAACAGGCCGTCGCCTTTTGCTGCTGTCCACCCAGAACATTGCGAATGACATCATTTTGACATGATTTCAATCCTGTCACGGTGGACCTGAGGTACGTAAGGAGTGTCTCTTTAAAAGCACACAGACCCTGGCGGCAAGGATGCGAGGAACATCTCCCTTGGATCGTGGGGACCTGAGGGGGGCAAGCGGGAGGCACACCTCCCCCAGATCACAACACCCTAAGGAGTCAGGGTGTGAGGAAGTGGATCTGGCAGAGAGCAAAGGAAAACATCAGCACAGTCCATGTCCGGCCGCCAGCCATCTGAACAAGCCGAAGAACGCAATAAATCTGGATCCAAAAAACCTGACTATTACACAAAAACGCACAGTGGTGGCCCTTCTCTAAGAACACAGCTCAGCGTTGGATACTGGCAGAGACATTTTGGCCTGTCAGATGACTCCCTTTTCTCAAACATTATTTAAGTCTGGATGAGGTTTCTGAAGCTGACCAGCGGTGGGATGGACTCTACCTTGCGGTGACTGCGGGCAACGTAAGTGGCCTTCCAGGAATTCTGCGTCCAACTCAATTAGCAGAAACAAAGACACTTTGTGCCTCCGGTTTGTTGTTTTTCAATCAATTCTGCTTTTCAGACAAAGGAGTGTATTCCTGCGGAGCCAAGAACCTCCCTGTCTCCTACTCGCGTTACATCACAGTCCAGAGCACTCCCTCCCCCATCCCAGAGCCCAGGCTCCGTACCCTCGCTTCCTGTTCATGTGCTCAGGGCCCCCAGGATCTCTCCTGCGCGTCCCTGCGGCAGCCTGTGACCTTTGCACTTTCTCTGAAAATATTTAGCCGATGCCTTCAGAGCAGTGGAGGCTTTCCAGTGGCCTGGGAAACCGGAGCCAACGTGAGAAGAGAAGCAGGAGCTGGATGGGGCAAGATCTGGGTCAGACCTTAGCTGGCTGACGAGGAGTCTGTGATGAAGACACTGAGGTTCTTTTCTCTCAGCTCAGAGAATTCAAACCCAAACCATTCCTCACCAACACATTATTTACAAGCAGAGGCACTATCTACAGAACGCATCTAGTATAATGCTCTAAACATAGGGCTTAGTACTGCATTTCATGCAGTGATTAGGACTGCTGTAAAGGTAGTATTTAGCTCACTATTTAAATCAATTCCATAAAAACAGTACTTAGTACAGTACTTGGTACAGTATTTAGTACAGTAGAAAATGATTTTTAGTGTAGATAGATAGATAGATAGATAGATAGATAGATAGATAGATAGATACTTTACCGATCCTATAGGAAATTAAAACATCCATTAGCTTACACATACAAAAAGACAAATATGAAAAGGAATAATACTAATAGATGAATGATTAGTTTTTATATTTGGCACAGTAGGGAGGTTCTGCAGCTAGCACCACCTGGGTTGATGCCTACATCTTCTGTGCCTGTGGTGGGTACGTGCTGCTCTGTGTCATGCAGGTTTCCTCTTTAGTCCAAAGACATGCAGTTCAGCGTGTATAAATTGCCAGTGTTGTGTGAAAGTGCCCCGTGACGCACTGGCATCTGCCCCAGAGTGAGCCCCCGCCTCGTGCTCAGGCTGTGCCGTCGGGGAGAGCCCCCAGGCCCCAAGCCCCAGGCCCCAGGCCCCAGGCCCCGCCTGACCCGGAGCAGGCTCACAGGAATGTAAGGCGGATGGATGGCTTTACTGCAGTATTTAGCAAGGCCTCGTCAAGGCACTATTTGGGCATACGATACAACTTTTATGGTTAGCAGTGCCTAGAGGAGTGAGCAGCCAGCTGACCTTGGACCCCCTGAGCTTTGTTCTCTCACAAATCCCACCGAGGTGGTTTTTGTTCCCCTCCTCTGCTGTTTCTGGCTGCTTCTACAGTCTGTGCATTTTCCCATCTATCTTCTAACCGCCGGTCAGGGTCATGGAGGGGGGCCTGAAGCTTATCCCAGGCAGCATGGGGCACGGTGCAGGGGTACGCCCTGGGCGGGATGCCAGCCTGGCACAGAACACAGGGCAGTACTCAGTACTGCATTAATAGCAGTATGTTGCAGAACACCATGAAGGCAGTATCTAGTACAGCATTTAGTATCTGTTCTAATAAAGCACTCTAAAGGTACATTCTAAAACACACTGAATTGAATTTAGTACATAATTTAGTACAGTGTTCTTGATGCAGTATTTAGTACAGCATTTAAAACAATAATTTGCAGGACACTATGAATCCAGTATCTAATACAGTATTTAGTACCTGTTCTAATAAACTGTTATAAAGGTACTTTAATTTTTTTTATTTAGTATAGAATTTAGTACAGTGTCCAGTACAGCATCTGGTGTAATGTTGTACTTGTTACTTAACAGTTTAAACTTGTTTATACTGAACTAGCATATACTTTACTTGATGCAAATTTCAAAATTTGTACTTATGGTTTTGATTTTAAAACAGTAATATGTGTCATTACGATACCATCCATAGCAAAGACAATTTTGAATGGACAGAATCATCTGTACCACACAAGTCTGATAGATGTATCCTGTGAAAAGAATCATCTGATTTTTTTTACTGACAGAATTTCAAACTCTTTAATGAGAAAGCTTTGTTTGAATCTTAAACCAGATGCTTTAACTATACAGGTGAAAATGCTGTAAATGTACGGCTGTCAAAACATGAAGCAAACACCATGTTTCAATAATTAACCATGATTACATAAAAACAAATAAAGACAATTTTATATAGTAAAAGTGTTTAAGCAATAGGAGATTGAATGAATGGCAATTTAATTTACCGAAAATAAAACCAAGATGGACACAAATGAATAACATGACATGGTGTTACAAAGATAGAGGTGCTTTTCCAAAGGGTTGGACTGGTGCAGAACATGATGAGTGAAAGGGATGATGGTCACTGTAATGGGATGGTCTGGGGGGGGGGGGTCATCTGGAGTTCACAATGACTAGACTGGATCCAAAGTGACCAAGCCACCTGTCTGCCACACTGTAAGAACAAAAGAGTACCAATTTGTACCTTGTCACTGGGACTGTACCCTCAATTCTACCATATAGATGTAGGTAAAAGTACCTTTTAGTCTAATTTAAGGTACAGAAATGGACTCTGAGGAACATTTTTGTACCATTGGGGGTGCATTAATGTTGTTTGTACTTTGGGGATGTTGCTCAATTGGCTACAGTTGGCAGACCCCTGAGGGTACAGCCCCAACGACAAGCAAAGGTATACATTAGCACTCTTTTCTCAGACGGTGCAGCCGATTGGTCCGATTTCTACATTAATTTCATGGATAATTAAAGAGGGCTATGTGTGACTGTCCAGTAAAACAAAGAGCATGACTGAAGGTGAAGACAATAAGGAAGCATGACTCTATAGTGTCCCCTAATGGAGAAAAAAATTAAAGGTCTTTAAATGGCTTTCCTATGCCAAAAAATTGAAGAGTCATGTTATCCCCATCAAATTTACACAATGGCTTTAGAAATGCTGCCGTCCATTTGCACATTTTAGTGGTCTTGTCGGTCTCCACTGTGTAGTTAATCATATTCAAGTCAAATATAATTAAAAGTAAAATTACATATTTCTCACCTGATGTTTCATTCTTTTCAGCCAGGGGGCGCCAAGTCAACTTCCAGGTAAAGTTTTTTTAGGGCATTATCTGAAAAAAAGGGCAAAACGGGTGAATGAGAGGTTTTGGAGAAAGTGAAAGTGAGTTATAAGTTTACAAAAATGATTTTGTATCACAGGCTCTGAAATAAAGGGATATTCAGAGGTAGGTTTGTTTAAGCAATGCAACAACATGGTAATTGTGGGTTTTTATGTGTAAACTCTGCTGTGTAACCTATTATCCCCTCTGCCTTTCTTCAGCAAATCCTGAACACATGCATCCCGGCTGTCCCAAGGTGTACAGGCTTGTATCACTCGGGCCTGCAGAGGTGTTTTGGGGGATCACAGTCCCAGCTCTGTCTCTGGTTGGGTGCAGTTTCATATCTGGAGTGCCTGGTCTGGTCTGGTCTAATCCATGCCCTACTGATCCAGAAGATTCTATGAGTGAAAATACCAAATAGGAGCCTTCACGTGATGCCGGGATTTCACAGCAGATGACTGCTCCAAATGTCTATGCAGGATTAGCATGCCCTTGTGTTTCCACTGGCATTTTCCCTCTCACGGCATGGCTGGTCTCCCAGGAACATGTGGTCTTTACATTGTCAGACATCAGTGACGTGACACAAAGCACGCAGCCCTCTTCATAGGTCTGAAACCACATAAATGTGACATGATTCTCTCACCCATATTTATGCGTCAAAGAACCCCACACATGTTTACCTGCCCAAGCCCCCATCTTTATTTGCTCCCTCTTATCTGGCTGATAGCTCCGGATATTTATGAGTCGAACCACCTCATGGACCCTTAGTACCACATTAAATATTAACTCTCCAAAGTCAGCCTTGGAAAAACGTCTAAATCCTTTATCGCTACATATTCTCTGGCTGTTTCAAAGACTTGAGCTGGAGACAACCATATCACTCTATATCTTTATTAACTACATCATCAAACTCTCACACAAACACTGTCGGGGCTGGGGGGTGACAAACATCGTTTCTTAATTAAACCGGCACCATTCATCACGCCTACAGCCAAACACCGATCGTCAGGCAAAATAAAACTTCCAGCAGTGTCTTCACATGTGTCAGTCTTGCACAGAATACTAATATATCACTAAGTCAGAGTATTACGAATATTGTTACGTGACCTCAATACCTGTTTTCTGGTTAGACTGTGAAAGAAGCTCAGGGAGCGGGACTTTCACTTCTACGAATCCCACAGGTTTCAAAAAGACCACCTGAGGTGGCATACTGCTCAGAAACGCAGAAAAAAATAGCCCAAGCCTTACATATGTCTGCTCAAGATGAATCGCAGATTAAAAGAAGGAGAAGAAGAAGCGCGACTACGGAGTCCGTGAGACCCGCCCCCCGGGGGCCGTTGGCCAATCAGGACGCAGAACACAAACTGCGTTTACACTCATATTCCACAATATTTCAGCAGAGTAAAGGGAGCGAAGCGGAGAGTAACTCCATGTTCTGTATGTAAAGGGCAGGGAAATCAATGAAAGGCACGGAAAAACACAGGCAAACCGAAGGGACCTGACCAGAAGAGATGTGAAGGGAGCCCTTTGGCAATGCCGATGTTTTAAATGCAGTTGCAAGTGCATTTAATGTGCGGCGGCTCTAAGGCGAGTGGGGCAATGCGCTGAGCTGCGGTAGGAAAGTCCGTCAAAGTTTGAGACGCGGCTCTCCGTCGAGCAGCCGCTGGAAGTGACAAGCCAGGAGCGGGATCTACCGTGAATGCCTGCGGATTATAACTCTTCTGGGAGAAGCCAAGAGATCGGCAAGAGAATAAAGACGATTGCGGATCCCACGTTTTGCGCTTATTCTGACATTCATTGACAACTGTTGTAAGAAGCTGTTTTATCGCAGGATATCGGCCAGGTGTCCGATGTGGGACCCGAATGGGATTCATGCCACTATAGCCTCCTACATATATCCCTGATTTTGGTTTCCACAAATGCGCTTGAAGAAACCAGCCTTTCTTCGCTTAGGATTTTAAACCAAGACTTGCATTCGGAATTACAATCATGAACTTTGTTTTCGGTTTAATGCTGTTATTTTCCACGACGCTTCTATACTTGTCAGCTGTGAAGGTAAGCGCCGTGTTCATTAGGAGAAATGGGTACCCGGTGTTAGACAGTATTACTCCGTGTCACGTATTGTTAAAGTGTTAATGTTACAAAGTGAATAATGCTGGCGTCCCCTGAATGCGCCCGTCGTCCTTGTCGCCTCCCCGGGGAGGTCATCCCTCATGTCCCGCTCAAGCTTTCTGAGATGTGGGGACACACTGATTGCAACCTTCACATGGTGGGAGGACAGGGCCTTTTAATGATCGATGTGATTAGTTATGCAATATTTAATTGTTATTCGGAAATTATTTTGAGAATTATTATTTCGAGCAAAACACAAAGTTGAACATTAGTGAATATGGGGGGCCTGATCACAGCCACCTTCGGCGTTGTGGGGCTTTAAAGGTACAGCGGCGTTTTTATTTGGTGCATTAGAGGACACGGTTACATATCACCATTATATTAACTGTGCAACTCTGTTCAGTACAAGGATGGTCTTGTATATTTTTTAATCTTCCTTCCTGGTGTTTTAAAGAGTTTTATAGACTTTGATATTTGGAAATTTGGTTGAAAACAAAAGGCGTCAAAATTTAATAAAATAAAATAAATTTATGCATACCTTTTTGGTATCTTTTGTATAATACAAGAAAGATTTTTGATATCAGCACCAATAGAACAAAGGTCTTTTGGTTACAGTTCACCTTGCTCTAATTTTGGCCATTTTAAATAGAGTTAATTTGAACTTGAAGTGTGGCCAATTGTAATTTTTATAGTCGAATCGGTTTATTTCAAGTCGGAAAACATAAATATCGAATTAAATCTATAGTCAAAAGATAAGTTTGCCGAAAGATTTCGATTAGACAGTAGTGTCTCGGTCTAATTAAGGAGAAAATCACGGAAGACTTGTCCCGAATAAACTGCGAATGTTTTGTTTTAAATAAACGATTAGCCTATAACGTAAAGTCTCACACCCCCTTGGTGTCCAATAAGCGTTTCCAATAATAACACTTACTCTAACACATTTGGGTTGGCCCTCGTTTTGTTTTACTTTTCTCCATTGAAGAAAGAAAATAATTAGGTTAGTTTTAACTTTTAATTTAGAGAAGGTGATTTCTGGCTCCTTTTATAGACAGCAAGCACTTGCAGTAGCCCCTTTTTGTGATTACAGTAAGTTCAGCCTTCAGGCAGCCAGAAGCGCCCAATTCTCATGCAATTTCTCGGGGCTGTTGCGTGATCGCGGCGTGGCGCGGCGGTTCCAGTGCGTCTATAGGTGGGGATCAGACCGTCAGGGATGGATCAGGGCACGGAGGATGCGCTCCGGCGCATTGTAGCACAACTGGGGAAATGTCTGTGACAATATCTGTCAATATGTCCATTATTTTAAAAATAAAAGCGTTACTCGAACCCTGGCCGTGTAAAGTCTGCCGTCGGAATGACAATATAATTGTTCGTTCATTTGATTTATCTTTGTCATTCCGTCTATAGAATCAATAGTTGAACTTAATAAGAAATGTATACTTTGATTATTGATAAAGGGAATAAACTAATTATGCGCCCCATAATGAGTCACGTGTCACTTTTGTCTCGGCAGACTGCACCCACATCTAAAGAAGAAGGCAAAAGTGGTAAGTGAAGGAATTTTCCTGCTCTTCTCTGTTTCGAGTGACTATTTTGCCCCCTAGAGGCGCTGTGTAGAAAGAGACGCACTCAGTGGGTGGGATCCCGGGAAATCGGCGCATAAGTGAATTAATATATATACATATATATATATATATATATACACAAGGGCGTAAGTTTGGATTGGACATTGGGGGATGGGGTTGAGGTCCCGACTCATTCATGACAATACGATTATTTGGGGGGTGTATTGGGCGATTCTGATTATTGGGAGGGGGAGTGGGTTACAACCCCCCATCCCCCATTCTTTTTGTATCGTTTCAGTACATGGGTATTATATACCACTCTCTGTAGCAGCACTGTAGCTCCCATTCTTAAGTTGAAATATAATGTTTACCCTTTCTGCAGTTTTTAAAATCCATTAATGACACTTTTTATTGAGTGAATCACTTCCAGTATCACTCTAATGTAACAGGATGGCTGTAACAGTACTGTGCTGACAACAGGGGGCAGCACTGGGCATCACCACATGACGGCCCTGATACCCCACAGCTGGTGGCTAATAATGGCAGCTGCAGCCTCATTCAGACCCGCAAATGGGGGCTGGGAGGAGAGGGAGGGGTGCTGGCTGGGCTTTCGGTCAGACACCGACCCCGCTGGGATGCTGAGGCTCCTTGCTGGAGTTGCCCTTCAGCAGTGAGTGTAGCTGAACAGAGAGGAGGCGCAGTCCTCGTCCCTTTCAGTTCGGAAAAGACGAGGAGAACCTGTGCTGATTAATAGGGAATACGTCACTGTTGGTCTGTTTTCTGCTAAGTGACAGAGGGAGACAGAGATCTGAGTGTGTTGAGCTTTTTGTTGAGCAGTTTGAGAGCTCAGCTTGTGGGGTCCTGGGACCGACGTGGGTCTGCTGTGTGGGACTCGGCTACTGCAGCTCAGCTGGGCTGTGAACTCTGCGGTGCAGGGCTTTCCCATGGGGTGGCATCCTGCAGGCACACAGACTCACACACATGCACATGCTCACTCGCACCCATAGCGACACACATGCACGTGCTCACTCGCACCCACAGCGACACACATGCACGTGCTCACTCGCACCCACAGCGACACACATGCACGTGCTCACTCGCACCCATAGCGACACACATGCACGTGCTCACTCGCACCCATAGCGACACACATGCACGTGCTCACTCGCACCCATAGCGACACACATGCATAGCCACACAATCGCACAGATGCGCGCACACACACACACACACACACACACAAGTCCTCTGACTGCCAAGTTAGGTTTGTTCATGTACGCATCAGCTCAGAAGATCAGCTGAAACGCAGTAAAGACTGAGCCAGACTGAAGCTCTGAGACGGGCTGAACAGCGAGTGTGGCTCCTCTCCCCTCCCCTCCTCTCCTCTCCCCTCGCCTCCTCTCCCCTCGCCTCCCCTCCTCTCCCCTCCCTTCGCCTCC